GGGTGGCTCAGATGGTTAAGCGTCTGCCTTCGGCTCAGGTCATGATCCCAGGGTCCTGGGATCAAGTCCCGCATCAGGCTCCCTGCTCCTCGGGAGCCTGCTTCTCCCTTTGCCTCTCTCTCTCTCTCTCTCTGTCTCTCATGAATGAATAAATAAAATCTTTAAAAAAAAAATGACAAATGTTTAAAATTGGGAAATAAAGTGGACTTTATCTCTGTAAAAGGAACGGCTGTAGAACAGCAAAACCTTTTTTGATCTCCAGAAGGGAATTGTGGCAAGAGAATAGAAGCTTTATAGGGAATTACTGGTATTATCAAAGGCTTTTCAAAATAGACTTGAAATGAATAGTTGTGTGCTGGTTTTATTACTGCTTTGCGAGTTTACATTTTGTTTTTGTATGGTATTCCCCTCCCCGCCCCATGAGATGGTTGCTAGGGCATGAGAGCAAATAACCTTTATTGTGTTAAATTTGGGACTGAATACAATTATCTTATAATTTGGGTTCATAGTGCCATTTTTGACAAGTTACATTATGAGCTTTTTGAGGAAAATTGAGCCCACATGCCGTAAGCGGCTTCCTATTCAGTTGCCCTCCGAGTTATGGTGTCTCCGCTCTCCCCTCCCCAGTTCCTCGGCACTGGGGCAGCCTCAGGACCAGATGCTGCTGGAGGCAAACCAGATGAGCCAGTGTAGGCCCCGCCAAGCTCCAGCACTGTGGCTTCTCAAAAGACCCTTGTCCCCAGTCAGCATGTTTTTCTGGACGACTCCACAGACATGAGTCTCAAGGGTGCTGCACTTGGTTACCACTTCAAGCATGCTGCATTTTTCCTGGAGGAAAGTCGTGAGTAAACAAATTTTGCAAATCAAGGCAGTGTTCCTAGGAGCCTCCAGGACCATTTCAGAGAGGCTTCGTCTCTATTTCTGACTGGTCTGTAGCTGGCAGCATGTCTGACCATGGCATTTCTGTAAAGGTAGGTAATGAGCCCTAAAGAAACTCTTCCGTGCACCGTGGGAAGCACACACTTACAGAAATCCTTCTTCTGAAAAAAACAATCATTTTTCTCTGTTCCTTCCTATGGCCCTAGCAGAAGTTGGGGTTCCCCTAGCAGCAGGCCTTGAGCTAAGGGTTTACATGCAAATGGCTTACTAGGGAGGTAATGCCAGGAAACACAGGCAGGGGGGTGGGAAGTAATACAGGGAAGGGAAGTCCACGCAAGCAAGGGCATGGAGGGCACCGTGGCGGGCACGTGGTGCTCAATCCTGCTGGGAACCTCTGGGAGGCAGTGGAGAAGGCACACCTCGGCTTTATACTGCCTGAAGGTGCGGGAGCCTGGGCTTTTTATCCATGGGCTCCCATGGTCATTAGGTGATGGCTACATTCAGGGAAAGAGGTGTTAATTTCCCAGCCCTTCTACCTTCTACAGGGGCAGGGGCTCCTGAAATCCAAGAAAACTCTCGGATAATAAGTGCTGGCAGTTGGAAGCCAAGCCCAATGTAAATGGTTGAAATGTAAACAGCTCTGGGCAGGACACCAACGCATCTGCTATGCTTAGTGTCTCAGAGCACATGTGAGGAGGTGGGGGCTCTCCGTGGCCCCTGAGGGTCCCTAAAATGACTATTTCTTACTGGTGTGTCTTCTACATGAATTATCTGCCAATCAAAAAAGATTTTTGGGGTGCCGGCTGGCTCAGTTGGTAGAGCATGGGACTCTCGATGTTGGGGTCGTGAGTTCAAGCCCCATGATGGGTGTAGAGGGTTTTTTGTGTTTGTTTTGTTTTTAAGGTTTTTAGAGATTCATTATTAGGAAAGTAAAGTATACCCCTCAAAATATCTTCTTTATGAAGAAATACTAGGAAATGTAAGCAGCGGCCACAACCAATGGATTAATCTCAACCCTTTTCAAAATGCTCCCATCCATCATTTTCAGTGGGTGGAAGATAGAGAAGTGAACATATACAGCCTTTATTCTCAAGATGGTCTCTGATCCCCCCTCAGTGGATTTCCAGGAATAGCATATGCTTACCCCTTAGATGCTTTTCAAAAGTGCTCACCTATCCCTGGGTACCTTGTGGACCCTGGTGTGGGAGGCAGACCAGCTCTAACTTGCCCAGAAGAACAGGGGCCAAACAGAGGTATGTGATATTGTCCTTTATTTAGGTACCAGCTCTGAACAACAACTGAAAAGTGTGATTAAACCCAGGCATCCTAATTCCCATGACATTCTCTTGGCAACCCTGGAAGCTGTTTATCCCTAATGTCAGTCTGGCAGGTGCCCCAGTTGGCGTCTTGTTGTTTGGAGAGTTGATGAGTCTACGTTCCTCACATAGCATGAGAGAGAATTTGGTGAGGAGGAGAATTAAGCTTCTGGAGTCAGTACTGCACACAGATGCCACAAATGAGTGGAGCTGGGCTTCCCTGGAGAAGCATATGGATGGACTGGCATCTTGGCCAAACAGAATTCACAACACTTCTCTATCAAGTCTGCCTAAGTGGCAGCCTGGATCTGTATCAGATCCATTGACCATTTCCACTCGGACTCCTAATTCCAGTCCCTGGTATGTAATTTGTGAGATTTCAGAGCTAGAAAAGACTTTAAAGATCATTTAGCCAACCTGTCTGTTTAACTGATAAGGATACTGCATTCCAGTGTGGTTAAGTAATTTGCCCAAAATTAAACAGCTAGTGAAGAGCTGGCCCGAAGGGGAAGAGCCCGTCTTCTCCCTCTTTGCTGTGAAGCTAATAAGGCAGAATTTCTCAGTAGATTCAGTAGAAGTAAATGCTTGGTTCCACAAATTATCTTGAGTTTTCCTCAAGACAGTACAAGGCAGAGTGCGAGGTTTGAAGAACGAGACATGGTGTCCTCATGGCTTTTAGTAATGCACGTGTAGAGAAATAACTATACAGTGTAGCAGAGTTTTATTTTGTGGGTCCCTATGATAAAAAATGAGGTACTCACCTTGCACCCCATGTGTGATGAAGCTACTGTTACTGGCAAGGAATGCAGCCTCCCAAATCTGTGCTGGGACATGGGGCTCCAGGGGCCTGGGATCAAGAGACAGGAGAGGAGATGCATGTATAGTTACGGGACTAGACTCCCTACCCCTCAGCCCCACTTGACCAAGATGACTGAGGCCTAGGTCAGCTGCCTGGCAAGAGGATGCCCTGCCACCACCCACCTGCAGCTACTTCCTGCCTATGCAGCCTTGGGCAGGTACATGATCCTAAAATCAAATTTCCCCATTTCTAAAATCCTGTAAATAGCTTCTACAGTGGTGGCTGGCATGAAGACTAAGGGAGGTAATGCATGTCAAATTCTTAGCCCTCCATAACTATTATTGTCCATGTTCTTTTCCCCAGTTGCTACCTCTGCCCCGCAATACCTCCCCGCTTCTCCACCTCTTCTGTATGGCTTCCCACCCTTCCCTCCTCCCCCTGCTCTCCTGCACCGTCTGCTCAAGCTCTTGGCTTCTGAACGCTTTCCCTCCTCTTCCTACTCCCCGCTCCCTGGTCTTTATTCCCTCTTACTCTTGCAGTTCATTCTCCATCCTGCTTTCTTAGAAATTTTGTCCTTGATTTCACTTCCCTTCTCCCACCCCTTCTCTGTCCCCATTCACTAGGTTCTCTTGCCCTGCTCGGCTCTTCTCCTCCTATTTGCCTCTCGTCTACTCCCTTTAGTGACCCTTAGCTGCCCCTTTCTAGACACCCTTGCTCTGCCCTCACCCATGTTCCAGGCCTAATTAGGAGCCCGATTTCCACCCCTAGTCTCTCCTGCTCACAGTTTGGATCCAGGAAGCACACTTGATTATTGTCGTAGGCAGCCTCTGCGATGGCCCCCAATGGTCCCCACCTCCTTGGATCCATGCTGTCGTGGAACCCCCTCCCTTTCAGTATGGGCTGGACCTAGTAACTGGCTTCTCATGAATAGGATACAAATGATGGGCTAACACTTCCGAGCTTAGGTTAAAAAAGACTGCTGCTTCCATCTTCGGTGCTCTTCGGCTCTGAGGAAGCCAGCTGCTCTGCTGTAAACTGCCCTTACTGAGAGGCACACGTACCAAGGAACTGAAGTCTCCAGCCAGTGAGGACCAGTGAGGTCTACTGACAACCATGTGCATGGTCTACCCCATTTGAGCCTCAAGATAGCTGCAGCCCATCTGCCATCTTGATGCAGTCTGTGAAGGATCCCTGAAATCTGAGGCACCCAGCTAAGAGGTTCCGGATTCCAACCTACAGAAACTGTAAGACAATAACTGTTTGTTGTTTTAAGCTGCTACATTTTAGGGTAACTTGTTATGCAGCAATATTAAAAATGCGCAGTTGTCCTTCATAGATCATCCTTCAGCAGGGTTTGTCTTCTATGACCTTGAGCAAATCACTGCTGTTCTTTGGCTCTGTCTCCTCCTCTAAGAGACTTGGGGGTTAGCGTCCAGTGTCCCAAGCCTCTCGTCCAGGAGGAGGTGATCAATGATGTTACAACAAACAGGCCTATGTGTTCTACTGTCGAGCACAGGAAGCCCAGTTAACCTGCACATCTTTGTATTTCAAGCTCCACATCTTTATACGTGCCTCACATTTTGCACTCCTATTATCTGAAGTCTGTTTCTAATTTCTGACAGAATTGCAGTGGCCTATTGTGTGCTACGCTCTGCATGACATGCCAATTTCATTTTGGAGTCATGGCTATTGTCTTTTTCCCTGCTAATCTCTCTCGTTTTGCAAAATTCCAATAGAACGTGTGAACATAGAGAGTTGCCCTGGTGCCTGATCTTGGTGCTGTGTGGCCCCCAAACAGGGGTGGATGATAGACAGACAGACAGCCTGCCACCCGAGGCATCTTTTCTTGCTTAAAAATTTGCTTTCCAGATTGCAGACTCCCTTCCAACTTGAGCAAAGACTGGAACATACTAAATAAAAGCAGAGCTGAAATTGGACAGAATGTCTCAACCACTTAGATTCAGACCTCGCTTTCAGGGGGAAAGCGTGGGGAAGAGGGAGTGGCTCGGACGGACGTGCCTGCATGGAGAACACAGGGGCAGAAGGTTTCCATACCTTTCTCCTACCAGTGGAGCCTTAAGCAGGGGCAACATTTTTTCTGAGGCAGGGCCTGTAACCCAGGACCCATCACTTAGGTATGGTGTCCATGACAACCAGGCAATGGTATGGGATCCCTTCTCACTGGGGAATTCCTTTTATGGCTCATTTCCGAAACCAGCATGGCCAGTACAGGATTCTGCAGTTTCCCAGTTGCTTAGCAACCAGCTCCAATGCTCTAGTCACTGGGAAAAGCAGACAGGTTTTTTTGTGTGTGTGTGTGTGTGTGTTTGTCGTCAGAATCGTATGTTACATTCTCTCTACTTTGTCTCTTTAGAATAAAATAATTAGTGTGTGATAAGGATGCGGGAAAAGGGCAACCGCTCCCCGTTGTTAATGGCTCGACTGCTCCTGGAGGGCTGTTGCAGGCAGGGCGAGGGAGGAAAATGTTAGCATGCTTTCGGCTGGTAATTAAGCAGCGCGAGCCATCTGCACATTGAAAGCTCTACATTTTTCACGTCTCGTGGGGGCATCAAGTAAGTACAGGGCCAGCAATCTGCGCTGCATGCCCTCCCCCAAACCGGAGCAGCCCAGCCCCACCCACAGGTGTCACGGGGCCACCTCTCCTGGGCTTACACTGCGGGGAGGGTGGTTGGGTTTTTGGCAGAAAGGTAAGGATACCATCTAGCTCCCTTGACTTAGGGTAGTTTGCAGCCAGGGGTGATCCCAGGCAACATTTGGTAAGGTTTGTGGTTGTCGTAACTGCTGAGGGAAGGGGGAGGTTACTGCTGGGTAGTGGATGATACTGCGGGCTGGTGGTCTAGGGACCAGGGACGTTGCTCCACATCCTCCATGCACAGGACAGGCCCCAACAACAAAGAAGTATCCTGCCCACATATCAATATGCTGAGGTTGAAAAACCCTGAGTGAGAGCAATCAGAATATCCATCTGTCTTGTTAAAACCAGCACTATAGCTGGTTTTTAACTATAGGAAAAACGTTGACAAGGTAAAGGGTGGGACTGATCACAATCTGTTCGACAATTCCAGCCTGAATTTCTGTATGGCCCAGAACTCCACCCCTACCAGCAGTGGACTTAGCAAAGGTGTAGAACAGAGAGTCCTCGGTGGTTAGTGGTAATGGAGGTGAGCTCGGAGGTTATAAGAGAACAGAGATGGAATAGTCTCTCCTTCCAGGGAGGCAACTTTGGCGCCAGATTTAGTTTCACAGACTGGGTCTATTGCCTATGCATGGGCTCCTAGGCATGTTACATAATCTGAGACCCAGGCTCCTCCACGCCAAATGGAAATTCAAATGGGTGTTGTGAGAATGACCTGTCAGAACACTCAAAATGCCTGACCCCTATGAGGCCCTCCCGTTCCCCTTGTCTCGGCCCCAGGACACTAACTGTCCCCCCTCTCTCCAGCGGGGCACCTTGAACCGTAGAGGTATAGGAACAAATAGAATGACTGAGGTCATTTTTCTCCAGCAGGGAGCAAAGGGCAAAAACCCCCATTTTTGGAATTTGGGGTGGTAGACTTAGACGAAGTACAGAAAAGCATACACGTGAGAGAGGAGGGTCAGTACTGTCTTTAAGAATATGCCTGGGCTTCCAAGTCCCAGCTCCTCCAGTTACTTAACCTGAGTGGTTTCTCTTCTATGAAACGGGGTAATTATCTCTTGCAGTATTATTAAAAGGATTAAAGATAAGGTATAGACTAGCACCTCGAGTGGGTAGGCCCCTGAGCAGAGGACAATACTTTTTAAAAGTAAGATTGGCAGGTGTGGTCCAGCCACGGGTGCTGAGGGTGAGGCTAAGGGCTGTATTTAGGAATACACATACACGTGGCCTCCCTATTATCTACGACAATCAGATTTCCCTCAGGAACCTAGGACAGCTCCAGTGGCTACAACGTGATGTAAGCAGCTTTGAAGCCAATTCTGTTTTCAGCCTGTGCTACCTCTTGGGGGGGGTAATGAGTTCCATACATTTAGTAACATTGTCTTACTTCCTTGAGACTATCTCAGAATACTTCCTACTTCTGATAAGTGGGTTTATGTTCACCTTCTCTGTGCCTCTTAGAATTTTCTAGACTGGAGCATATCCCCCATCAGCCTCCACCCTGGCTTTATACGGAAGACCCTCCAGACCCCTGATCACTTAAAATACCTTGTGAACTCCATTATTCCTTTCTTGAAATGCATCAACCAGAACTGCACATTCTTTTCAAAGGTAAGGTAATATCTTCTTTGTATTTTTGTTCATCATTCTTCCTAACCGTTTCCAAAAATTGGTAGGCCTTTTGGGGCCGGAGTCTTTGCTGCACACTGTTACCATCAATCCTAAGAACCCTTTTCTGGGGTCAAAACAGTTGGTTCATAGTGGCAGCATCTCATCATCTACAGTTTGTACTTGCCCTGCCAGTCACGCTCTTATTCCCAGCCACGTTTTGGCCACTCACCCAGCTTCATCTAATCGCACCACGGTTGGCTTCTTGTTGAATACCTAATACAGCCTGGCACTCTCTAAACATTTAGAGATTTCACTCCCCCTTCTAGATTGTTGTGTGATCCCACCTGATTTTGCCCAATCAACAGAAGCTTCTTGGGAGCGCAGCTCTAAACATGTCACTGCTGCGATTTTTTTTTTCCCCCTCCACCTGGGATAATTAAATGATGTTAAATTTAGAGACTGCTTGTTCATCCCTCCCAAGCAGAATTATGGAATCTCACCTAGAAGCCACCATAACTGGCAAAAGTGGCAGAAGGGTGTTTATTGGGCATGCATGAACCCAGCCCCCCAGAATGTAGCACACAGGTATCTTGTGGGAGCCAGGCACCCCAGAGCAGCAAGTGGCTAAAGATGGGAACATCTCGAGGTTTACCAGAAGGATCAGAAGCACTCAAAGTATGTAGAGGTCAGGGCAGCAGTAAAGAAAGCCTACAGGCAGGCTGGGGAGAGGTCAAGGGGCATCAGGCAGCCGAGGAAAGGGCAGGCAGCATGTCTGGGATGCAGGATGACAGATGGGAGATTCAAAACAGGGCACCATCAGAGCCCTGAAACAAGGCAAAATTTTATCAGGGCAGGAACAACAGAGCTCCAGGAATAAGAGCAACGGGGCCTGGCTAAAGTGGGGGGCAAAAGGGCAGCAGCTGAAGGCAGATTCTTGTAACAGTAAAGCAGCAGGGGAATCGGGAAGGGAGGGGGTTGATGCTGCTTTGAGGGCAAATTTTCTCCCGATTCCTGCAACATCAGGGGTTTCTAAAAGATCAGTCAGTTGGTCAATTGGCAGGGAAAGTTGAATGTGTACTCTGGGTATCACACCACTCTATGGACATTAATTTCATAGAGCTCCTGAAGAACACTAATCTCATGAGGTGCTCCAAGAAAGGTCTACAATCACTAAGTTTGGGATTTTTGCACAGTGCAAGTCCCTCTTGGAAATTCATAGTGTACATTAGCATTTTAAAAGCTCTAAAAACTCCTGCATAGTAACTTGTTTGTTTTTAATTCAGTGTTCCTCCAACATCGTTCACAGCAGGATCCTTTAGTTACGTAAAAAAGTATGAATATCCTGTGGACACACCTCTTGAGAGACAGTGTTCTAGAACATTCCTAATCTGGTGTTTCCAGGACCTTTACAACCTGGGCCTGCCCCCTGTTTCCCAACTTGACCTTCCTTTATTTTCCTACATTCCAGCTACCATGAACTCTTCCCTTGTACATGCTTCCTTCATTATAGCAGGTGATTCATCATCTGCCCAAAAATGGAAAAAAAGCTAAGCCTTCCTCACTTCACCCCTGCCCTCCATTTCTATATATTAAGGCCTACCTCAGAAAGGACACTTGATCCATCTCTGCCCCAGCCTCCCTGTTACTATAAATAATCCATTCTCTCCTCTGATCCCTTATGTTGTACCATCTATTACTTTTAGAGCACTTAGCACTTTTAAATTTATGTAGGGCCATTTATGCATTTCTTTTTAGAAGACAGAATCCACATCTGATTCTTTTTCATATCTCCACCCCAGAATACAGCACATTTGTAGGATTGTTAGGGGGTGCAGAAATGATCCTATGACCCCTAAGGTTGAAATAAATTTCTCAACACTCAGGCCAGAGATGGCCAAAAATCTGGCTTATCTGTTGCCGACCCACACTCACCTGTGATGCAAAGACCCATCAATCACCATGTGATTTCCCCTGGGGCCCAGACAGTACCCCAGAATGCTTCTCAACATAGTGCTTTCAACAGTCATAATCACTGGGTTAGGGCTGGCATGACAGAGAAAATCTAATTGTTGTCCCTGATTTGGACTTTTCCATGAAGTGAAAAGAGAATTTAGCAAGCCGAATAGGGGAGCTGTTAATACTTCAGGAACTGTCCATGACAGAAAAGAGCAATTAGCAAAACTATTCATTATACTTTCATGTTCATGTCTAGTCTCACGGCTAATTATTTGTATAATTAACATGTTACCAAATGCAAATAATTGATGAGCCTGATTTCTTGGAATGAAATACGAGTCTTGTGAAATGTAAATAGCTGTGAATTATCAACAGCTTCCCTTTACTTCGGCTTTCTGATAGAGCAATGCCTGTAAATTAAAAAAACAATGTAAGTATAATTCTCATTTATGTTAAAAAAACTGACTAAAAACAATACGATGTGTTTAAATGCATAGAAAAATCAGAGGCTTTAATTCTCTACCACTTTCCAGCTGGGTGACCTGGGCAAGTTACTTAACCTCCCATTACTCATGCTCCTTGTAAGCCTTCGTTTCTGCAGTTAGAGAATGGGTCCTAGGGAGCCTGTAGTCGACAGGGTTGTTTTGAGAATTAAGTGAGCTAACTAATTTGTAAAGAGCACCCAGTAACTATGAGCCTTTGTTTTCACTATTACACTTAGATTGCTTCGATTTTTTTTTTTTACAGTAAGTGCCTAAGAAACATTGGAGGGAAAGAGATATGGATGTCTCTGTTGTCACACCATCTATTTATTCCTGAGAAGCTCCCATGGTCTACATCATGGGCTGATGGGGACAAACTGGGTTGGGGTAGACCACACTCAAAGCCCATGCAACTTTGTAACCAGAGCACTAGCAAAAACTTTGTCAAAACTAACAAAATGGGGGCACCTGGGTGGCTCAGTCCCTGAAGCGTCTGCCTTCAACTCAGGTCATGATCTCGGGTCCTGGGATGGAGACCACACTGGGCTGCCTGCTCCCCCCCCCACTCTGCTGCTCCCCACTGCTTGTGCTCGCGAGCGCTCTCTCAAAATCTTTTAAAAAAATAAAAACTAGCAAAATGTGAGCTCCGCTAAACCTCAACTGCACGAACATCTATACATGGCATTCTGGCCTTGAACTGGGGGCTTCTTGTGGTGCTTTTGGAATAGAAGTCCTGGACGACATTAGTTCCTAATGGGGACCGTTGCATCACAATTCAACATTGGATTTAAGGAGTGGTATTTACTAACCTCTCCTGGTTTAAAGGGAAATGTCTTCACCGCTTCATCTGCATTTTCACTTGTTCAGAAAGCTTCCCAGGAGGATTACATGGGGATTCTTAAAGTCCCTACATCAGTCCTTTTCTGCAGGTAACAAGGGCAGCTCTGTGTATTCTCAGCTTTTCCTAAAGGCCTTCATAGAATGCTAAAAGTTTCCTCTTATTAAAGAGTCAGTTACGGGGCGCCTGCGTGGCTCAGCTGGTTAAGCGACTGCCTTCGGCTCAGGTCATGATCCTGGAGTCCCTGGATTGAGTCCCGCATCGGGCTCCCTGCTCGGCGGGGAGCCTGCTTCTGCCTCTG